CAGAATTTTGCCGCCCACTCTATGAGTGGGGTTCCTTTTTAGTCAAACCCACGAGTAGTTCTATCACAAGGGTGGCTCTGCTATATCGGGTACATTTCTAGCCCAGGTAGTCAACCAGCTAACTTGATTAGGCACAAACAGAGCGGAGGGATAGCTACCGATCGGCTTAGCAAGCAGGCGGGTACTTACGCCTGGATTCAAACTTCCTGCATCCCACTGTAGAAGCAATTTATCCGAAGAAATACGAATTTATAGCTTACAATTAAGAGGATATTTCTCAGCAAGGGTTATACTGTAATGGTACATGGAATACAAGGGATATGTAGCTTGCATCCAAGGGAATGTGATAGGGTATACCATACATCCATGGCCTGCGCCATTTATGAAAGCCAAGATGTTGGCTGTAGAGGAACACTGCTATTATGAAAAAAGTATCTTGGTAGATGATGGATACGCATATTTGCTTCTTTAGTGTTGGTCATAACCCGGACCAGGTGTTGAGAATTGTATGGCCCAATGGCTCGAGTACGTGGATCGACCGGATCCAGTATGTGACGGTAGTTTGTGAATGCGTATGCTTATTTTATTCTGATGATAAATGAGCCAAGCAGAAGCTGTGTGAATTAATGCATAAAGATTTAATGCTGACGACCAAGCATTGACAAGGATAAGTTGAGCTTATTGTCAGCATACAGTGGGATGCAAAAAGTATCCGTAGGTGTGTAGGTAGGTCTGATGCTTGGAAGCTAGACAGGGGTAGCTTTTCAGGTCCTCAATACCTTATATTACACTTAAATCAGGGGATATCCTAGTATTAGGTATCTAAACAAAGCTAAGCTACCAACTAGAGGAGCTAGGGCGACTTACACACCTGCGAGTACTTTTTGCATCCCACTGTATGATGGAAGCACCGGCAATTCCTGTTGTTACAGTGGAATGCAAAAAGTATTCGCAGGTGTGTAAGTCGCCCTAGCTCCTCTAGTTAGTAACTTAGCTTTGTTTAGATACCTAATACTAGGATATCCCCTGATTTAAGTGTAATATAAGGTATTGAGGACCTGAAAAGCTACCCCTGTCTAGCTTCCAAGCATCAGACCTACCTACACACCTGCAAATACTTTTTGCATCCCACTGTACAAAGAAGAACTTTGCACACGCTACACCAATAACCAGTCTCCCAACCCCAGCTAGCTGCTCCACTGACAAAAGTTCAGAGGTTTAGGGCTCAGGCGTAGAATGATGCTTTGTGGCGCATCGGACCTATCCGTTGCTGCTTAGAAAGCGACCTTTTAGGAAGCGGACGGTTCCACTATTAGCCGCGGGATCCGGCTCTTACTTTGTGTTCCATTGTTTAAGGTTTGTCGGTGTTAGAACCCCGGTTGTTTTGCCTGACCCCCTCGGTCCACCCTCTCGGAAGCGCACTTTGACCAAAGCCACTAGGATCCCTGGAAAGATGCCCGGAAAGAACCGTCTTAATATACCACAGTATAGTTGCTTCTCTTTGAGGAACGGTTGCTAACGACTCTACAGTGGGGGGGGGGGGGAGTATTCGAGGTGTGCAGGTAGGTCTGAGGTCTGATACTCGGATGCTAGTCAGGGGTAGCTTGTCAGGTCCCCAATACCTTATATTACACCGTAATCGGTGAGATAACCTAGTATCGAGTACATAGGCTAAGTTAAGCTATTAACTAGAGAAGCTAGGGCCAATCAACGTGACTTACACACCTGTGAATACTTTTTGCATCCCACTGTATTCAATATCACTGAAGAATACTGTCAGACATTACGTGTATTCGGTTCATTAATGTGAATTGATGTATTCATGTTGTGTTCTGTTGAAATCTACCCCTTAGAGGTTTTACCATTTCGGTTGTAATCTTAAAATATCCCTGCTTGCACGTGAGATCCCAGCATCTGTTCAACAAATACTTGCCGCCCGCATTACCGAACCGTGCCTCGGCAGCAAAGGTCAAAGTTTTGCTAAAAGAAACTATGTAGGGCAGCCGGGCCCGTCCGTTCCGTCTATCCGTTCTCGGCCTCGGGTGGCCGCGTCGTAACTCTGTCCGGCCGTGTCGTTTTGAACCCTCGACATGCCCAACAGGCCTTCGATTCCGGTCCTCAACTCTATCGTTTCCTTAGTAGATCACACCCTCACGTCACAATCTCCCACTGCGTTTCCCCAGCACCAGGCCATGTCTGGCCTTGCACATAGCGGTCTGCCGTTCGGCACCTTGCCTACGGGCAACCGCAGTCAGGGCATGGAAGGCTCCGAAGCCTCCCCAGATCGGACATCTCCCGCATCCAACGCCTTCGAAGACCCGACTATCGATGAATTTGGTTTGGCTTCCCATAACCGTGCGGATGGCACAGATCTAGGTGGTAAACCTAAGGAGGATAAAGCCGATGCCACACCTACATAGAGTGGACTGAAGACAAAGGGTGGCAAGGAAAGAAAACGCCTCCCGCTTGCTTGCATCAAGGGTGTGCACCACTCAGTTCAATCAACTGAATGGCTTGGTGGCGGTGAGTTGACCTGGTCAACCACTCTCTCTAGTGGCGTTGATCAATTATCCGTCAAATTGAGTTGAATGGACACTGGTTGAAGTCGTTGATCTCCAAGCCGAGCTAGTTCACTCCCACTCTCCTATCCCCTTTTCTTTACATCCCACCTCTACCCAGGATCCTTCTTCCGTCCCATCACCACTACCATTCTCGGTAGGAAGTAGTGACACGTCCAGGTCGTCAATCACCCCAGCCCGTAACCACGATCGCAGCACTTGACACATTCCTATAATGTCCGCGTCCAGCCGATTTCGTAGTGGCGTCACCATCCGCCCTGCCGCCGCAAACATCCTCTCGTACTCTGCTGACATCGGCTGGATCGTAAGGAAGTCCAGCGCCATTCGTGAAAGGCGAGGATACCGACGTTTGCGCTCATGCCAGTATGATATTGAATCTCTAACATCGTTATCTCCATCCTCCCATGACGGCTGCCATAATTCGAGCTCGTTAATATCTTCATTGATGTCGTCAGACAAAGTCGCTTCCTCTTTCACCAAACCGTATCCAAGAACCGGCCGCGTGCGCTCACAGTACGCTTGAAATGGGTTGTAGTACTTTCGCTGCCGCTTCGCAACTGGTTCGTCGTCGACTGGACTCCGGACCACCTGCAGGTGACGATAGTCCGACTTCCCACACTTCTCGGACCATCTGCTTCGCCTCCATCACCCATTTCGTGTTATCCTTCCACTCATTCTCGAAATACCCCCACCAGAAAGCCAGGTGCAGCGCTAAGGCCGTGTAATAGATTGGTGTCTCATCCAGCCTGCTGTAGTACTTGTTGAGTTTTTCCCCACCCAGATTAATATTGATTCGGAAGTGCTCCGCGTCGGGTATCTCAGAAGCAAGCTGCTTATAGTCCTCGAATACTTCCAACAAGAACTCGAATCCCTGGATAACCTCCCATACATTCCCGTACGAGCCAACCCACCCTCCTTTCCGCTTGCGTTGTTGGCCATCGCCTTCCAAAGTCTTCACGGCATCCTCGTAGAATCCTAGAAGCTTAGCCAGGTGTTCCAGGACTGCCCAGTCATTGACCGTAAGCTGGTTTTCCTCCAAGCAAATCCGGTGCTCACTCGCAAACTTTCTAAGATTCCCTATCCTCTTTGATCTATTGTCTTGCTCCCACTGTTGACGATGCTTCAAGACGAGTTGTTCGATGAATGGTCGAAGAATGATGCCGCGTCTAATCATGTATAGTTGAGAAGCCACCGGGTATCGTTGTCAATGATCAAATCGACCGGCTGCCTCGCTCTAATCCTGAGGTCCGAGGATAGATCGAATTCGGAGCGTTGTATACTCCGCAGCAAATAAGTAAGCTGGTCCGACCTTTGGACGTCAACCACCAGGTTGTGCAGCTTTCCGACAGGTCCTTTGCGCCGCCAAAGTGTGTACTCCGCCTCAGACAGAGCAACTTCCCCTGACAACTGCTCTTCGAAAGCCTCGACGTTGTGGCCAAACAGCAGTGCTTTGGCCGAGAGATTTAGCGTATGGCCGAAGCAGCGCCCACCCTCGTCGACCCGACGAACCCGAGCTCGCCACCAATTACCCCCATGACCTTGTCGTTGCTTCCGCGTTGTCCAGTGTGAAGTATCCAATCTTATCCTGGATGCCATAGGCGTCAAGGACGTCCAGTATTTCGGCCGCAATGCTGTGTCCGAAATGGCGAGTTCTCAATTCCGGTACACCAAGCGCCAGCTTGCGTAGCTGGCTATTCTCATCCCGAAAGAAACAAGCAATCCCGTACAGGTTGTGCCTGTTGCCTGACTTCCATCCGTCAAAGGAGACGTGAATCAGGCCGCATGGCTACTTCAGCGCTGCGATGACCTTATCTTTGTGCATTTCGTAGGCCGAGAGAACTTTGCGGCAGATGGTTGTCCTGGTAATATTGGCATCCGTGATCTTGACAGGTGGGTTATTCGAATATCTGGCGTAGTCTTCCTTGCTCACAGACGCTAAAGGCGTGGTTTTCCTCAATGATCCATTCGAGTAGGAGGCGCTGGAAATGCTTGCGGTCGAAACCCTTGGCCAGACTGTTCGCAATGTCTTGTTCGCGCGGGAGTCGCGTATCGAGCTTCATCACTTCGGCGACGGACCTCTGATCCTTGGCCTTTAATTTCTCGGCTTTTTTCTCAGCGGCTGATTTCGTCTTGTCAGGGGGAGCGCGTATTCCATGGCCCTTGAATAAATGGGCGTTCGCATTCTGGATTCCCTTCTCCGCGAAGCTTCTGGGTTTGGGATTCTTGTTCTGGATGAAGCGCCTGCAGACCCACCGCCGACTACCAGAAGAATCCTCAACATCATACCCGAAACCCCATACCCACGATGGTATATCTCGGACGCGTTGGGACCACACGTAATCCGGGAAGCAACGCCAGAGGTACTGATGTTCTACTTCTTCATGTGGTGTTTCCTCTTGCAGGCTGGGAGCTGGCGTCGCTAAAGAAGCCACTGCAAGTGTTGCGGAAGATGACATGTCAACATCGTTCGTGGAAGGCGCTGTAGACTCCATTCCTTCTGGCTCAGAGTGTCCAGCTGGATCACGGTCGCGGAAGAACGTGTCGCACTGAATGTGCTTAATGTGGATTGAAGGTCGGGTCATTCATAATGAGCAGCAGTAGTGAGTTGATTTGTTCTATCTTCTGTGTGGGGTATTCCATCCAGCGCTGCCCACAAATCAAATCCAATCAAACAAACTGCCAAACAAATCAATCAAATATGCCGTAATTTTATTTCAAATCAAACAAATGGTAAAACGTGGATTTGAAAAGACATTTGATATATTTAATACAGGATATTTGGCTGGTGGAATGATCTGTTGGGCTGATGAACGCGTCTTCACAACCTACCCGGGACCGGATCAATGCTAGAAGCCGGTGAGCTGATCCGACCAATCATAACCGCTGTCGAGATCCCCTATTAGTGAGCTACCCTTAGCAGAACCTAATCATAGACCAAGAAGAAAGTAGCTTCTTAACCTTTACTTTCTATCGCCCCCACAGCATCAAACCGCATTGGGTGCCAGTGTGTTTACTTCCCCCCTCTCCCCCACGCGTGCTATTGCTGTTGATGGACGCATAATATGATGAAAATGAACGACATCATGCTTCCTTCTCCGCCGTCTGCCTTTGCTCTCCTCCGACCACCGAGAAATCTGGCGAGTCAATTTGAGCTGGCGACGCAGAAGGCATTGCCAGATCATCCTACTGTCGCGGATCTTCCACAAGCAGTATGGAGGAACAAACGATATGTTCTGGAAGAGTCTTTGTCGCGGAAGGGTTCGAAGGGCCGGAAGAGCTGGATCAAGCGCCACGGACTTTTTGTTATTGAGATTAATACCAACGACAGTCCGTCAAGTCCTTACTAGGCCTGCCGTTTATGCGACGCGAAAGGCCAGCCTGAGTTCTTCACCGCTGCTGCTACGAGCTCGGCAGCTGACCATCTCCGCAAGTATGAGAATGTGACATAGCGAGCTTGAGCATCATTGACCACGCATAGGTCCCACAGGATCTTCGAGAGCAGTCAAGGCGCCGACACAGACCCGTCAACCGATGAGACTGAACGGCCTAAGCGACGGCGCTTACAGTACAGCGCCGTGCCGCGTGCTAGAGTCGCGATGATCCGAGAACTGAGCCTGGGGCTTCTGATTAACACCAACGTTCCCTTCTCCTTCTTTAGTGATATATTCTTTCAGCAGCTCACCTGGCAACTTGATCCGCATCTATCTGACCAGGTATCATGGAGCCGGCAGTCGATGAGCCGCTTGTTGGATGACATGTACAAGACCAAGAAGGATATGGTCAGGCAGGAACTGTCGGATGCCCTTAGCAAAATTCATCTCGGGTTCGACCTGTAGACATCACCGAATCGACACGCTGTCATGGCAGTCACGGCTCATTTTCTTAATAGCCAGGGGAAGCAGCAGTCGCGCCTGCTGGCACTCCGACGCCAGCTCGGGTATCATAGCGGAGAGAATCTCGCGGCGACACTTGGGCAAGTTGTACACGAGTGGAAGATAGAGGATCGAGTCGGGACAGTGATATCGGACAACGCATCTTCCAACAACACCTGCCTTCTGAACTTCTACGGAGATCTTAATGCAGGAATGAGCCTGGTGGACATCCGTGCTAGACGTATGCGCTGCTATGGACACATCTTAAACCTGGTTGCTCGCGCCTTCCTATACGGCGAAGATTTTAAGGCTTTCGAGGCCGAATCCCAGGTCTTCAACTTCCTCGGCCGCCATAAGGACAATCTACGACACTGGAGAAAGAAGGGGCCGGTAGGGAAGCTCCACAATGTCATCAAGTTCATCAGGTCTTCTCCTCAGAGGAGTAAGCTTTTCAAGAGGATCTCGCGAGAGAACAACGAAGCACAAGAATATCTCTTGGCGGGCGAGTCGACGGCAGAGCTAGAGGTCGTCATGAATAACGACACGAGATGGAACTCCACTTACCTCATGATCTCTCGAGCGCTCGTCAAGCAGGGAGACATCCGGGCGTTCTTGGTTCATCCAGAGGTAGAAAAGTGGCTACCGGAGGCCGACATACTGAAGGCAGATGATTGGAGACTCTTAGCAGAAATCAAGCATATCCTTAAGCCATTCTATCTGCAGACTATAAGAACACAGGGCTGGGGTAGCAAGGGAGGTAATGGACGGCTTTGGGAGGTAATGACAGGTATGGAGTACTTGTTGGAACACCTGGAGGATCGAAAGTTGTTCCATCATGTTATCCCAGAGGACGCAGGAGGAGAGAATACCGATTCTAAGGTCGAATCAGCCCAAGGGCGACCGGATCGACATCAGCAGCTTCCTGCCAGGTTCAGAGATTGCAAGATAAATATGCATCCGCGAAAGTCAATAGGGAGCTTTTTGCCAGGTCGTGCGTCAGGACAATGCGATAATAGACCAGGCAAGCCATCAGGATCGTCGGGAATCGACGACGTGGGGGAGGATCACCGACGCTATCTGAGACTCTCTATCATAACCGCCTGGCAGAAACTCAATGAGTACTACACTAAGCTTGGAGAGTCACCGTTATTCGCCGCATCCATCATCCTCCACCCGTCGCTCGGCATGAGTTATCTGGAGGTGAATTGGGCGTCAGAGGAGCAACTTGTGTGGGTGAGGGATGCCAAGATTGGGCTGTCTGACTACCTCGACCGCTGGTACCGCTGCAGCCGGCCAGTGGATGAGCAGCAGAAGGCGATTGTGGAGACAGCGACGTCCCCCGTCGTACCACGAAAGACATCTGAAGGTAGCGTGTTCAGGCAATGGGTCAAAAGCAGGACGGCGAAGACTACGGTGATGGGTAGCGAGCTGGAGCGATATCTGCGGCTGGAGCCACAAGAAATCGAGGATCCAATTGAATGGTGGATGGGTCGGC